AGTGACGTATGAGGAACTAACGTGCTACGGTTGAATTGGCTGTTTCCTTCTGAAAGGATTACCGACAATTAAAAGCATAATGAACTGTGATCCGGCGTAGGGACCGGTAAGAAAAGGTAAAAATAGTTGTACTTCTGTAACTCGCTAAAAAGTTATATGATTGGAAGTAATTACTAGAAGTTGTGAAAATAGTTTTCATACGCTAATCTTCATTGCTCTTTCCTACACTTCGATATTCTTTTGATTGTTCCGGTAGGGAGTGTTTTCATCTTTTTGTATATCATGAGTGTGTATAGGAAATATGGTACACCGTTATACATATATTCGTGGGAAATCATATTAGAAAACATTATATGACCTAATAGTTTTGCTAAAATTTCTTCAACAATTAACAATCTCCTCTAATAATTTAAGATGGATCACATTAAAAAATCTATCACAAAAACTCTCATTCCTTTGATTTATCGTGATTACATTGTCTTTAAATAAATATACCACATGAATAATAAAAGGTTTTTGAAATTCGACTAAGTCGTTGGCGTACCGTCGCGCGGCCCAAGTTTCGTGAGTTTTCCCGAGGTTTCGCGAGGTTCCACCGCGCTCTTTGCTTTTCCCGAAATCCAATCGTGGCGCGCACCTGTATCACGCGATGACTCACCGCCAATCACCGGGCTGTGCAAAAAAGGACTCACGGTGCTCGAGCCTTATCCTACGCCGAGAGCCCGCAGAATACGAAGAATACCGGTACTACTCTCATGGGACAATTGTGCACACAAATCGCGTCTCTGTCGTTAAGTCTTCTTTTGTTGCAAACGACCAACAATTATTATAGCACGCGCATCGCGTCAAATTTCACGACTGTTTACTTTGTTACATGGTCTAATACAGGCCTGTCCAACTTGTGGCCCGCGGGTCAAAATCGATAATCGCCCCTACCGGCTTGCTGTTTCAGCCGAGGGGAATGACCCCCCTCCATATCCACAAGAAGCCCGACGATATAGAGACAAGAAAGCGTGTGTATATGCTCTGGCTGTCCCCACTTCCGACGCTCCAGAAATTCCTACCCGCACGTACCTCTTGCTCGACGATCGCATCGCAGCGCAAGCGAGTAGTGGGGAATGGACTGAGTGATGGTGGGGACCGCGTCGTCTGGCGAAATGACTCGCGGGCCACATGTTGGACAGGCCTAGTCTAATAAATAGTCTAGTGTTCGGTCAATTATCGTAATTCGCGTGTGTTTTATTGGGCTCGACCAAGAGTCCTCTATCAACCTTCACGCTCAGCGCTGAGCGATCCCAGCAAACTACTTTATCGAAAGTTGTAGCCAGCGTCCATTTTCGATACAGGATATGATACACTTGAGTCGATGTGCATGAAATAATATCCGGCGCGAAATCTTTCAGTAATTATTATGTAAATCCGGCTGTTGCGTTGAAACTGTTCGCATCAAGTATGATGGAATTGATTCTATGATACGAGCCATGGTACTGAGGGATGAGCGAGTTTGCGCCGTCGCGTTGGTTGTGAATTATTATCGAGCCCCGAAAAGCCTGGAAGTTGCAATAAGATCGCGATTATCGTGCGTTCTCGAATAAATGTCAGATAAGTCGGAGAATGAATGAGGGGGTGAGGGGTCCGAATAACGCATCCATCAATCTGTCGGCGCATTACGTGTAATCCCTTCCATAATATTTAAAACCTCTTACGGGGCTTGGCGAGTCTGTATTTACGCCGGATTATAGCGGAGAGCGAGTTTAGATTCAGGTTTCACACCGACGCAATGGCGTGATAATATTGTATTGGACTATAAACTCATATCGCGCGAACAAATTTGTCGCGAAATGTATTACACGTTTATCTTTGACCAATTGAATTCAAATGGTCCCTGCTGTTTCGAATTATTAATAGAAACGCTCGTTGATACTATCATGCATGAACATCAACATTAAGTTCAGCTTTTGTTAAGAGAACAGTGAACTCTTGATTCATTGCCGCGGCCGAGATGTTAGGAAACGAAAAGTGCTGGACAGACAATTCCCCAATCGATGGATCGGTCGTGCTGGACAATTTCTGTGGCCACCACGTTCAACAGATTTAACGCCGCTAGACTATTTTCAATGGGATACATAAGAGATATGATACATCGTGAACCAACAACAACACTAGAAAATATGAAAGAACGAATTCGTGAATTATGCAGTATGTTCGCTGCAGAAACAATACAGAGTGCAGCTTCCTCGTTGATTACATACATAGATTACATCAATGTATTAATGTGTATGGACACCATTCCGAACCCCTACGCTAGTGAATGGAAGAAGTCTTACGGAAATCTTTGCTGGTATTGAATCTCCAACTTGATATTACGCACAGACCATTTTTAAGAAACAGAGTGAAATTATTCATTAATTATTAGGTTTACGACTAATAAAGGTCAGTACGTTTTTACTCAAAATTTAACGCTCTTCGATATTATGGCATAGAAAATATAGCATTCCATTTAAAAAAAACGAAGTTGACCTTCAAATTTCTGAAACGACTCCGCTCACAAATAAAATATATGCATTACATAATGTATCCCTCCAAACCATACAACTGTTCTGTAACAAATGTTGTCATACAATGTATACTTTAACAGTTATTCAGAGTGAACAAGTTACGTGGACCACCCTGTATATTTTACATGCATACATACATATACAGTGAGAGTCAAAAGTGAGTATACACTTTGAAAATATGGGATTCATTCATATTTATTTCTCTCACTTTAGAATCTAACATTTCGCATAGATGCTCTATACTCTATTACATTGAGATCTGGTGACTGTGGAGGTAGGACCTGACTGATTGAAAGTGTTCTCCAGCAAACAATTTTTCACCACCTTTGCCAGATACATATTTTGGGCCATGAACTCTCACTAATAGACCCATGTTTGCAGCTAAATTTAATTTTGAAATGTTTAAATATCTAAATCTGTCCATAGTCAGAGTCCTGCATCAGAGGTTGTCATGCTGCCCGCAAACCATAATACATAGTACATTCACCATGTTTAACTAAATTTTGTGGTTATAGTTCTGAATTTCTTTTTCTCCAACATGTTGGCTGCCTATTTATCTCGAAAACGTTAAAAAAATTCATATCCAACTGTATTACTATCATGATCAATTGCAAGATGCTACAGAAGTATTACCACGAACCTCACGTATTGTGAGGTGTACACTTAGTTTTGACTACTATACTGCAGAATTACATGTTTAATACGTGCCGATATATCTGAAAAACATGATTCCATACGCCATGTTTCCTGTGCTTACACAGAGCATGTCATGTTGCATAACTTTTATGTTCTTACCTAATTAGCATTAGTTTCACTGGAAGAATCATGCAAAAGAACATTAAATTAACTCGGTAAACATCTTATTTGCATTTTGGAAGATACATTTAAAATGTGCAGTGAGATATAAGATAACGAATACATTTGTCATTCGAAAGGCAAAAGCACCTGCTGAAAATTTTATTGGAGTGCCAATATAAACGTAATTAGACGCATGAATTTTTAAGTAAAAACTTGAAGGAAGTTATTCTTACTCTTAGATTCGTATAACAACTTAACTTTTAATATACAATTAATGTGAGATTTTACACAACGAAGTAACCCGTTATGTGCGCTTAACAGGTTAAGGAACAATTATCTCATCTATCCCTGTGGACCGGGGAATAGAATACGGCCACGGCATTCCCTGCCTGTCGTAAGAGGCGACTAAAAGGGACCGTTGGGATCGCGGGACTGTGGCACCCGCGGTCCGGTGGGGGGGGAGCTCACTGCTTCCCCCACCACAGAGAGGGCGCTCCGCCGTCTCTGGCGGAGCGGGCGCTGGGGAGGTACCGGTTGTGTTCGCAAGAGATCCCGGTGCCTCCCCGTATAGCGCCGAGCCCGGCCACCGTGAGTGGTTTAGTGGGTATTTCCCCTGGGCACAGCCCTATTGGGGATGAGTCCCACACTACCCCCGCCCACTCCTCCCACATAAGGAGGAGGGCGGGGGTGTGCGTAAACAGCATTCCCTCACGTTAAAAAAAAAAAAAAAAAAAAAAAAAAAAACAATTATCTCATCTACTAAGTGTTCTATATGTACATGTATCTGCAATTATTGTACTGCCGATGAAATGTAATTAGTAATTCACATTCCTGAGCTGTTGGCCGTCCAGGTGCAAAAACAATATCGCCACTCTTATTAATTTATTATTATTTAATTAAGAATTTCGTACGCCGTGTTTACTTTCATATCTATATAAACATAGTTTTAAACAGTTATCATGCAAAAGAAATATATTTTAATTTTTATTTACATAAAATGAAACGAAGATACTTACAAAATAAATGGTTTTATTTAAGATGAATATTTTATTCCACATATAAGTACTAAACCAATACATAACAAAGACAACTATTGGTATTAAGTGTAATGAAGGTAAAATAAATTAATTTCATAGATACATAGGTGTACCATGAGTCTGTATTATTATCATACTAAAATTTAGTTATAATGATTAAGAGTGTGGCGGCACGTGAACAAACGCGCCGCCTCATGGACGACGTGCCGATCAGCGCGTTGCGACAAAACGCACTTCGGCTGCTCGGGCGAAAGTTCTCGGAACGGCGAGGACCGTCGTCTGTATACATTATCGAATAATCGAGAACGTTCTCGTTCGATGCGTCAGACGACGGCCCTCTCGAAAAGCCGTCGCGGGACAGACAAAAAGGGGCAGTCGGGCCTCGAGTGTTGCACGCGCAACAACGTTCCGAGCGATACACTACCAACGCGAAATAAACGATTTCCGACCGTCTATGTGTGGATTATTTCACCCAAACGCCGAATTTCCCCACATAATTGGTGACCCCGACGTGATCCGCCGCGCAAGGGTGAACCGCGAGTTTTAAAAATATGTGCAGTGTGTGAAGCGTCGCGAATTCGGACGGTGTAGTGTGGCCCAGCGCAACATGACGAGCAGACAGCCTACTATCGACGCCACTGCGGCCAGCGGTTCCCAGGGTGAGGCTAGCGGGGTAGCCCTGACAACTACGCCTACCGTGGGGCGAGTTTCTGTCCACATCCCACCGTTTTGGGAGAAGAACCCAACAACGTGGTTTCGACAACTGGAATTCCAGTTCGTGCTGTCGGGAATCACACAGGACGCGACGAAATATCACTACGTCAGTGCGAACTTGGAGAACAAGTACGCTGATGTAGTGATCGACATTATCAATAACCCCCCGACGACGAATATGTACGAGACGCTCAAGGCAGAGCTCATACGGCGACTGTCCGATTCCAAGGAGCAGAACATTCGGCACCTCCTGGAACACGAAGAGATCGGTGATCGGAAACCGTCAATTTTTCTGCGACGGCTGCAGAACCTCGCGGGTGATACAGTGTCGGACGAGTTTTTAAAGACATTGTGGTTGGGACGCCTCCCAACGAGTGTTCAGGCTATCCTGATTACACGACAGAAGGAGTCGCTCTCCGAACTTGCCGCCCTCGCCGACGCTGTAGTGGAAGTTTCACCGCGTCCACAGATCGCCGCCGCCGCCGTCGCATCGACGGTGCAGGGTGACATTCGCGCGGACTTGGCCGAACTCCGTCGCGAAGTCGCGGCCCTCCGCGTAGAAACGAACAGTTTTCGTCGCTCACGTGCCAAATCGCGAAGCAGGCATCGTAGCCTTTCGCGATCGCGTGGCCGTAATGAGGGAGACATTCCTACCGACGGCAAGTGTTGGTACCATTGGAAGCACGGTGCCGCAGCCAGGAAGTGTCGCGATCCGTGTAACTTCGCGACGGGAAACTCCAGGGCCGATCGTTAATGGCGGCTAGCGATTCCGGGCCGACCACTAGCCGTTTGTTTGTTGCAGATCGCGATACGAAGACCAGTTTCATGGTAGATACGGGATCCGATCTGTGTGTGTTTCCTCGCGCGCGAGTGCGTGGACCACGTGAAAAGACACTCTATGTGCTTCACGCGGCAAACGGCTCGGTGATAGCGACGTACGGGTGCGTCAGCCTCCGCTTGAATCTCGGGCTGCGGCGTGACTTTACGTGGAAGTTTGTCATCGCAGACGTCACAACGCCAATCATCGGGGCCGATTTCCTCTAATCGATGGCACCACGACCCTAACAACAGCTGGACGTGTTGCCGCGGACGGTACGCAGAGCGTCAAGGCGATATCCGGGGAATCGCGATATCATTCGATTCTCGCCGAGTTTCCGGATGTCACGCGACCGTCGGGAGGACACCGCGCGACGAGGCACTCGACGTGCCACCATATCCGGACCACGCCTGGTCCACCGATGTCCTGCAGGCCGAGACGCCTTGCCCCCGACAAGCTGAGGATCGCGAAAGCCGAGTTTGAGGCCATGGTGAGGGACGGAACAGCGCGACGTTCTGAGAGCTGTTGGTCATCGGCCCTACACCTGGTTCGGAAGAAAGGTAACGAGTGGCGACCCTGTGGCGATTACCGACCGTTGAACGCGAGAACGATCCCGGACAAATACCCCGTGCCGCACATCGAAGACTTTGCACAGGGTTTGACCGGAAAGACCATATTCTCCACGATCGATTTAGTGCGCGCGTACAATCAGATCCCGGTGCATCCGGACGACATAGCGAAAACCGCGATCATTACACCTTTCGGACTCTTCGAATTCCCGTGGATGTCTTTCGGACTACGAAACGCGGCTCAAACGTTTCAACGTGTCATGGACGAGGTGTTGCGCGGCCTCGACTGGTGCTACGTGTACATTGACGATATCCTCGTGGCGTCCGGCTCAGTCGAGGAACACGAGGACCATTTACGCGAACTGTTTCGCCGTTTGAACGATTACGGTGTGTTAGTGAACGCGGCAAAGTGTGTTTTCGGTGCGCCCGAAGTGACATTTCTGGGGTACACGGTGTCCGCCCAGGGCACTCGACCGTTGCCAGAAAAAGTCGAAGCAATTCGAACTTTCCCACGCCCAGTGACAGTGAAAGAACTGCGTCAATTTCTGGGCATGCTGAATTTTTACCGTCGGTTCGTGCCAGCAGCCGCCAAAATCCAGGCTCCGTTGAACGCGGCTCTGCAAGGGAACGTCAAGGGTCGAACCCCCGTCGAGTGGACGCCCGACAGGTTGGAAGCGTATGACCACTGCAAGGAGAGCCTCGCACGTGCAGCCCTCTTAGCGCATCCTGACGTCACGCTGCCCTTGGCGATTTTCACGGATGCATCGGATTATACCGTAGGCGCCGCGTTACAGCAACGATCGCGCGACGGATGGCAACCGTTGGCGTTCTTTACGAAGAAGCTAACGCAGGCCGAACGAAAGTACAGCCCCTTTGACCGCGAACTTTTGGCGATATACAAAGCCGTCAGATATTTCCGGCATATGATCGAAGGGCGCGTATTCACGATTTTTACGGATCACAAACCGCTAACTTTCGCGTTTGCGCAAAAACCGGAGAAGCACACACCGCGACAATTCCGTTGGCTCGACCTCATCGGGCAATTCACGACCGATATCCGTCACGTGTCGGGTAAGGACAATGTAGTCGCGGATGCTTTGTCGCGGATCGCAGCGATCGCGCAAGCACTTGATTACGCGAAACTGGCCGAATCGCAGCATCAGGACGAGGAGCTACGCACACTCCTACAGTCGGATTCGTCCCTCGTGCTCAGGAAAATCGCGCTTCCCGGTACGAATGTTGAACTGTATTGCGACATCTCGACTCCCACTTTGCGACCGTTTGTCACGAGGCAATACCGCAAATCGGCATTCGCGTCGCTTCACGACCTCGCTCACCCCGGCGCTAGGGCAACGGCGAGGTTAGTGTCGGAACGCTTCGTGTGGCCAGGTATCCAAAAGGATTGTAGGACCTGGGCACGAGCGTGTATACCGTGTCAGCGTGCAAAAACTAGTAGACACGTGTCTACTCCGTTGGGCAGTTTCGTTGCACCCTCGGAACGTTTCGACCACGTCCACGTGGACATTGTCGGCCCGTTGCCGATGTCGAGGGGGTACCGTTACTGCGTAACATGCGTCGACCGTTACACGCGGTGGCCGGAAGCGTTTCCCGTCGAGGACATCACCGCGGAAACTGTGGCTCGCGCGCTTTTTCTCGGGTGGATTGCGAGATTCGGGGTGCCACACCGGATCACGACCGATCAAGGACGACAATTTGAATCAGCGCTATTCAAGCAATTGTCGCTCCTTATCGGTACGCAGCACTTGCGCACAACCGCGTACCATCCGCAGGCGAACGGTATGGTGGAACGATTCCACCGACAATTAAAGTCCGCGATCGTTTGTCACGCCGATACGGGCTGGGCTGATTCGCTGCCCATCGTCCTCCTAGGTATACGAGCGGCCTGGAAGGAGGATATTAAAGCCACGTCCGCGGAGATGGTGTACGGCGAACCGATTCGTCTCCCGGGCGAGTTTCTAACTGCCTCGCAGGCAAGGGATGGCGACAGCGAGACATTCATTGCTCAGCTACGCGAGCATTTTAACATATTAAGACCATCTCATGGTTCCCGTCACGGTGTTCGGCGGACATTCATATTTAAAGATCTACCGACAGCGACGCATGTTTTTATACGACACGGACCGCATAAAGTCTCGCTACAGCCTGCATACGACGGTCCATTCGAGGTGGTCGAACGGCACTCGTCGAAACACTTTAACATTCGCGTTAAAGAACGAGTGGTTCCAGTGTCGTTGGACCGTTTAAACCCGGCATACCTGCTTCGCGACAACGAGCAGGACGACCGCGACGGACCTGCCTCGCAGGAGGTCCCAATCGCTCGCGACACGCCCGAACCCGAACGCATGACAAAGTCGGGAAGACGCGTACGATTTCCCGACCGTTATGTTGCAACGTAGCAACGTAGTGTATTATACCTGTATATAGTAGATTATAAGATGTCAATATGTATATATCATAATTTTAAGTGCGACCGCACCCTTAGTTTCACCAAGGGGGGTGATGTGGCGGCACGTGAACAAACGCGCCGCCTCATGGACGACGTGCCGATCAGCGCGTTGCGACAAAACGCACTTCGGCTGCTCGGGCGAAAGTTCTCGGAACGGCGAGGACCGTCGTCTGTATACATTATCGAATAATCGAGAACGTTCTCGTTCGATGCGTCAGACGACGGCCCTCTCGAAAAGCCGTCGCGGGACAGACAAAAAGGGCAGTCGGGCCTCGAGTGTTGCACGCGCAACAACGTTCCGAGCGATACATACCAACGCGAAATAAACGATTTCCGACCGTCTATGTGTGGATTATTTCACCCAAACGCCGAATTTCCCCACAAGAGTTAGAGTTAAATAAAAATTAAAACGACAAAGAAGAAAATAAATAACATTCACAAATACTTATACCCTCTTTTTCAAATTCATCAATTCTTTTCGATAAATCCAAACACTCGCAGTTATCTTTTTATAAAGACAATAATACAGGATTAGTTAGTCTTTCCTGTGACATCGACGACCTAAGGTTAATTACCTACACGTATTTAATCCAATAATTACCGTGAGCTATTGATATATTGTCACTTGATATATTGCTGCGTAAAACATGTGCCCACCACACATACTTCCACGAACACAAATTCGCTCTCCCAAGTTGCCTACATCGTCCTCGCTAACACGATACAGCTCTTGCGCAAGCGCTGGGGCCGAGGCTACGAGCTACGACTAATGATGGGATACCAAGCCGGATTCAAGTCGATCGAGTCAGATGACGTCACCGGAACTCGGCTCGCGACGACGGTATCTAATCTCTATAAGCATTCGGCGACCGACGCTCGGGTTACAATGTAACACACAGGACAAATCACCCATGAATAAAAATTTAGACTTTTACTCCTTTCAGTGTACTTTCTTAAAAATATTATGAATAAATGTAAGAGATTCTCCTGATGAAAATAAGTCAAAACCCGATATAAATCGGACTATATTTAATAACAATACAATTCGTATCGCAACATAACGTATGAATAAAAATTGTTTTCGCTCCATTACCCTATTCAGTGACACGCAAAAATTTTGAAAAACATTGCACACGTTGCAAATACCGGGCCACCTATTTCAGAATTTCTCGAATTTTTCGGTTGAAAATTCTAAGTGGAAAAAATTAAGACCCCTAAAAAATGATAACAAATACAAATTTCTTAGTACAAAATAATTATAATTAAGCATGGTAAAACACGTACAGTAACATTGTAGGTACCAATATATGGTAAAAAACATAACATAATATGCAGGTTTGCAGTGCATTAATATATTCATCATTAAGACATAAACACAATACAATTATTTTAATTCAAGCATATTCCAAGGATAATATAAGAAGCAAAGATAAGAAATTAATTAATAGTAATTACGGTATAGAAGCAAGTGTACAGAAAATGCATACAACAATATAATGTTATTTAACACTAAGACATAAACTTAATGCAATCATTTTACTCGGGGAATACAGCATGACCAATTCCATACACATTTGATAGGAATGTATCGGAAATCAATAAGCCGCTTATTGATCTGCTAGCTATATTCTCGCGGTTTCGCTCGCGTGGATTTCGAGATTTAGTAAAATTTTTTTTAAATAAAATTATAATTAAAGAAGTAAGTAAGACTTCTACTTTTATGTATACAGATTGAGCATTATTCAAAATATTATTAATGAATAATTCCAAATACTTTTTTAGCTGTCGTTAAAATACAAAATTGCATTATATAATTACATAAATAAATAATTACGTATACAATCAAATGTAAGATGCTTGCAATCACGTTTCATAAGATATCACCAGCAGCAAAGTACCTA